GTGCAGTGTAATGTAATGAAATGCACTGCATGTATGCAGCTTTGTTTGTATTTGTATGTATATATACGATCTGTGTATGTATGTATGTATCTATCTGTCTATCTATCTATCTATCTATCTATCTATCTACTATCTATCTATCTACTTGTATGTATATGGCAGAGAAGGTGTTTTCCTGAATCGCATGGTAGCTCCATCTGGTGAGGAAGAGCATCCATCCCTACACCAAAACCCTAAACCCTAAACCCTATACCCTGAACCCTAAACGTAAACCCGAAACCCTAAACCCTGAACCCTAAACCCTGAACCCTATACCCTAAAGCCTGAACCCTAAGCCCCAAACCCTCCAGAAGAGACAGGTTGCGGGCAGTTGGGAGTCATCGATGCGGAGCGTTGGGACTCGGCAAACAGGTGGCTGCGGTTTAGGGTTTAGGGTTTCGGGTTTAGGGTCCCGGGGCCTAAAAAATAACTATAGTATTCTTGGGGGCTCCTTATCATAATTATAGCTTATAGTGGGCCCCAAAACCCTATTGTCAATTGTAATTATTAAGGTGGGCTCGGCAAACAGGTGGGGAGTTCTCTAAATTAGGGTCCCTTCTTAGGTCCCCCAAGTAGTACGGCACCCTTATAAGAAGGACCCGAAACGGGACCCTAATTGAGAGAATTACATTGGCCTAAACCCTTAACCCTTAACCCAAAACCCTAAACCCTAAACCCTAAACCCTAAACCCTAATTCAGAGAATTACATAGGTGGCTGCTTCCCGGCGACTTTCCGAAGAAAGGCCACTGCCTTGACCCGACGGTGTGGAATCAGGATCCTCGGTGCTACGTTGGGTTTAGGGTTTAGGGTTTAGGGTTTAAGGTTTAGGGTTTCGGGTTTAGGGTTTAGGGTTTAGGGTTTATCGGTGCTACGTTGGGGTGCTCTTAACTTCCTTTATCTCAGGGGTTTAGGGGTTTAGGCTTTAAGGTTTAGGTACTACTCCTCAATTGCTTGTGGTGGCCTTCAGACGCTAGAAACCCTAAACCCTAAACACTATAAACCGTAAACCCTACAAACCCTATAAACCCTAAGCCCTAAACCCGAAACCCCAACCCGAAACCCTAAAAACCCTATAAACCCAAGACCCTAAACGAGGATGCCCATTACGTCGACGCCCAGCCTGTGGTGGACCGCATCTACGAGGAGACCCTAAACCCTAAACCCTAAACCCTAAAGCCTAAACCCTAAACCCTAAGCTGCTCCGAGGAGACTCTGGGTCTCGTTGAAAAGTCCAAACAACTCCACGGACGAGCTCCGAGGTGTGGGGCTTGGAGTTTAGGGTTTAGGGTTTGGGGTTTAGGGTTTATGGTCGAGGGGTTACCCCTAAACCCTAAAAGCGTTTGGGGTTTAGGGTTTGCGGTTTGGCGTAAAACCTAAACCCCAAGTGGTTTAAGGTGAACCTTACCAACCTTCAGCGTTTTGCCCTAAACTGTAAACCTAAACTACCTTAAACCCTGGATCCCAGCTGCAACCTTAAACCTCAGACGCGAAAAATTACGCCTAAGCCCTCGACTCAGCCCTAGACCTCAAGAACGCTTGGAGGCTGTCAGTGGTGACTGTGGGCACCGGTCCCTTGGGGAGTACTCACCCGGATGGCCCGAAACGCCTGCAGTACTTTGCGCCGGAAGATGCGAGCCTCCTCTCTTCTTAAAAGGGTTGCGGGTTTAGGGTTCGGGGTTTTTGATATTTAGGGTTTAGGGTTTAGGGTTCTGGGTCATTTATATTTAGGGTTTAGGGCTTGAGACTTTGGGTTTAGGCTTGAGGGTTGGGGGGTTTAGGGTTAAGGGTCTAGTTAGGGCAAGTTATTTTAAAGACAAGATTGGGTACGTGTGTTTACGACTCAATCTCACGCACAGATCTCAAAAAACAGAGTAATTCTATACAACCTCACGAATTTCTGCAAACAGTCCTCCAACCCTAAAGCCTCAAAAATCATTATAAATCTCCTGAAAAACATTAGCGCCGTATAACACGCGTAAACAACCGCCTATATTCCTATAAGAATTCTTTTAACACCCCTTAAACAATCATGGGAAGTTTTAGATGAAACACTAAGGAAAGCAATAAGCAAACCTTGAACCCTAAACCTCAAACCCTAACCCTAAACCCTCAACCCTCAACCCTAATCCCTAAACCCTAAACCCTAAGCCCTCAAACCCTCAAACCCTCAAACCCTCAAACCCTGAACCTCCTTTCCCAAGAGCACTATACCCTAAACCCTAAACCCTAAACCCTACTTACTAAGTCCCCTGGACCTCCAAGCAAGGAGCTGGTTCTCAAAGGCAAAGAGCGGAAGCGCTCTTGGCATCGACGTGAAGGAGACGTGCAGGGCCCGAAAAGGTGGGATGAAGGATTTAGGGTTCAGGGCTCCTTTAAAAGGTTCCCTTAAAGGGATTTACAGGGTTGTTTAGAGGGGTTTAAGGGTCTTGGGGGATTTGGGGGTTAGGGTTTGTTTAGGGATTAAGGGTTTAGGGTTGAGTAGGGTTCAGTAGAGGTTAGGGATTGAGGGTTTCGGGATTAGGGTTTAGGGATGAAGAATTTAGGGCTTAGGGCTTGTTTAGGGGTTAAGGGTTTAGGGTTTAGGGTTTAGGTTTGTTTAGGGATTAAGGGGTTAGGGTTTAGGGTTTAGGGTTTAGGGTCGCAGAGAGCGCAATACTTAATTAGGCACTGTACCTTAAAGTATAAGGGGCTTAGTATTATGATTTAAGGTATATTCCTTAGTTAAGGGGTATTGGGCTCCCTGAATTTTGTTTAGGGATTAAGGGTCTAGGATTTAGTAGGGTTTAGGGATTAGTAGAGTTTAGGGATTAAGGGTTGAAGAATTCGGGTTTAGGGATTTAGGGTTTAGGATTTGTTTAGGGATTAAGGGTTTAGGGTTTAGTAGGGTTTAGGGATTAGTAGAGTTTAGGGATGAAGGGTTGAGGGATTAGGATTTAGGGGTTAGGGTTTAGGGATTAAGGGTTTGTTAGGGATTAGGGTTTAGGGATTAAGGGTTTAGGGATTAGGGTTTAGGGTCTAGGGATTAGGGTTTAGGGATTAGGGTTAAGGGATTGAGGGTTTAGGGGTTGGGCTTTGGCGATTTGGGGTTCTTAGAGTTTTTGGGATTTGAAGGTTTTGGGTTTTAGAGTTGAGGTTCTAGAGTTATCTGCTATCAGGTTTCAGGTGCTACAAGTTTGTTTGTAAGCCCTCGACCAAAGCTTGGGGGGTCTTAATGTAGGGTTTAGGGATTGGGGCTTGGGGTTAGGGTTTTAGGTTTAGGGTTTGGGGTTCAGGGTTTAGGGTTTAGGGTTTAGGGTTCAGGGTTTAGGGTTTAGGGTTTAGGGATTGGGGCTTGCCGGTTGCCTCATACGGGTTTTATTCGGGTCTTGGAACAACTTTTGTAGAGCTTACCATGCGAGCCTGGGCAGGCTGTGGCTTTCTGGTCTTAGGGTTTTTTTCGGGTTTCATAGCTTTTGGTATGGGTTTTAAAACGGATTGGCTATTGTTTTCAGGGGTGTTAAATATGTTGGAACCCTAAGCCCTCAACAACTCCCTATACCCTAAACCCTAAACCCTAAACCCAAACCCCTAAACCCTTAACCCAAAACCCTAACTCCTAAACCCTAAACCCTAAACCCTAAACCCTAAACCCTAACCCCTAAACCCAAACCCCTAAACCCGAACCCCCAAACCCCAAACCCCTAAACCCTAAACCCTAACCCCTAACCCCTAAACCCTAAACCCTAAACCCTAAACCCTAAAGCCTAAACCCTAAACCCTAACCCCTAAACCCATAAACCCAAACCCCTAAACCC